GCTTGCCTGCTTGCCTCAGTTACGGTGCGGCGATGTGTAACTTCCTGTCCGCGACCCTGTATAACTTACCTCAAGCGCTACCAACTAGTCTTGCAAACTACAAAAAAAAAAAAAAAAAAGACGTAGACGCTTCCAGCATGCAAGCAGAATACAAAAAACATACAGTTGTAAATGATAAGTAAACCTTTTCACCCTTATCACGCAACATGTCGACAACTTCTAGCCTGGCAGCTTCCAGTGGAGTACTGTTAAATAATTTTTTTTTCACGCATTTTTTTCTCCGAAGGCATTATAAAACTGACTAATTTTCCATTTGTCGTTTCGCTGTAACGATCAACGTGCTGATAGCATTGCGATGTAGTAGTGGATAAACACCATTCAGACCATTGATGTGCTGTCATGTGGCAAAATACACAAACGTGAAATGCTCGGTTACTTACAAATAAAAAATTACCCCGAAAATTACAGAAACATTGGCAACGAGATGCTGTTTTTAAACACCACGGAAAAATCACGCACTCTGCGATGCCATCTTGGTTAACTTAATCGGAAACCCCCTTGTCAGCTAGCACGCATCTGTAGTGATGTCGCAAAGTGCGTTGTACGGCCGTGCTCGGCGACCTCTGGTACTATGGCACTTTATGATTGAGGTATTTCCAGAGGTCAGGGTTCGTTTTAATTTTTATCGACCCATCGCGTTTGCTAGTAGTTGAATGAAACCTGTTTCGATTTACAATGGTTGTCTCCCATTTCGACTTTTTCGCACCGGCGTTTGAGCGATTGAGTACAAAAACTGCGAATAGCCATTGTGTAGCAAACTATTACGGCCCATTTCAACCTGGCCGTCTAACTTCGCACGATCCATTTCACCGGAGATCGTGAAAAACTGCGTCATACAGAGTATTTGTTAAAGGTTTGAGGAAAGGTAAATTTAGACTCAACCCACCCAATGGGGATCGCTATGTTTGTATAACTGTATGAATATCTCATCGGTTTTACGTAATCCATTGTGTCCCTCCCTAAGTGGAAAATATAACCCGATGCCATTACAGTTTTCACGCAAGGTTTTGACTCCGCGGACGATTTCACGTCCGTTTCCCTAGTATTGTCAACATTTTTATTATATTTTTTTATCTGACGATTGAACATCAGCAAGCGTCTGTGTATGATGGATTTTGGCATGTCGTCGTGATGCAATAGCCATTGTTGTGGACGATTAACGTCACTTTCATAAAACGGCCATTATCTCCGTTCGTGTTTTCTGGTTGGTCAGAGAGATTGAAAATTAATTCGCTCCCGCAGTTTTTGTCAGTTTGTCATTCGAAGTGTGAAATACTGACCGGGATTGACTATACGGCACACATCCTGCTTGACAACTTTGTAATATGAAAACAAAACATACTATATGTACGCCTGGACGCCCCTTTGTTAATAAACAGCTGATAAACGTTGTGTGAAAGTTTTACTCAAAATAAACAAGAATTGTGCGAGCTATTTAGATTTGAACTTCCATGGTAAACTGAAAAACACATGTAGAGATAATGGCTAATTTGCATAACCATTCACTCAGTAAGAAGTTTGCTAATGCTCATAATCTAAATGGCTGTAACAGTTCCAAATATAAACTTATTATCGTTTTGTTTTGTATATAGTGTATAATACGGAGATCCCGGCATTACTTTTTTTCACCATGTTTTTTTTGATTATTAGTGAACAGCCTTGCTAAATCTTGCTAAGCATTCAAAAGAGAGAATGTTTGTACCAGTTTTCTATATTTTAAAATCGTCTTTTGAGTATGTTCCACTATTCACAATGCTGTGAAATTTTATAGCCAAGACTGTTTGGATAATAAAAAGCAGAAAAAAAATTCACTCTCAAGTGCCCACGAACCTGCATCTATACCTTAAGGACATTACTAAATAATGTTTTAAATCACCCCAGAAAACTTTATAGAATTCAGATGGAAAGCCATCTACCCCTGGCGACCAGTCATTATCCATTTTTTAAACATGCTGTAAGAAATGGTAACTTGTCTTATCTCTAATTTTAACATCTCAAAAAACAAAATTGCATCACTACTGACATTTTTTGGATTTTTCCTCCCTAGAAGCATTACTATATGCCGAAGTATATTGATCCACAGTATTATTCATACATTCTTTCACAATTTTGACATATTCTAGGTCCTTCTTCAGCAAGGAGGTGTTCAATTTCCAAAAACCCTTTTCTCTACTTGTTTGCAAAAATGAGGAACTTTTCATGAGTCTCTACATGATTCTTTGTATCATGGCCGCTTTACCGGAACATCATCAAATTACTCTTACAAAGATTCATATATTTATAGCACGTATTATCGTTCCTACAGTTTGGCGAACAATCTTAAATTTGAATATTTTTCAGGGAATTGGAATTTTTTTGATGGACCAAAAGCCAGTTAGTTTCAACTCTCATTTGGGTTTCTAAATATTTTATAAAAAAATGCACTCACCGCTTGCCAAAATATAATATAAATCAGAACTGAGAAAACATTTATATGTGGTTTATAATGTGAAACATTGCATTGTATTAGGGAATGAAAAAGATCACCTGACCATTTAATTATCTTGTTAAATTACTTGGAGCTATTGGTTTTGATATTCGACAATGAACATTGCAATCGATACGAACAATTTAACTAATAGTTTCAACTCGTACTAGTATTCACTGCTTGCTTATCAATGTTTTTCTACATTGCATTTGGCGCTTGTGAAAAGTGTATACTCAAAGCTTGGGTCAATATAAGTTGGATCTCGTGCAAGTTTCCCTAAAATTGAAATGTACCCTACTAATACATGGTGAGTACTCTCAACAGTTTCTCGTCTCTGACATGGGACCAACACTTAATAATATGCTGCCTGTAAATGTACTAATACACACAAATGAAACATTTCCGAAAACACTTTGACATAACAAATCTAGCTGAAAACTAAATGTTGTAGAAATCAAAATATGTCGAGTAGTATGTCAAAAGTTGTTTTCTGTTCAGTGTTTTTATTAATATCGGTTCTCTCTTCATTGTGCAACGAAACCCATTACGATTAGGAATCTATTCATATACTTGTATGCTATACTATTTTCTTATATTATACGCTATATATGGCAATCAGGAAGTGAATCTAATTGTATGTTCTTGTCAGAGTACGAGATGGATCTGAAAAATCATGATCAAATGAATAATGTTGTGGCATATATACAACTACATGTATATATTCGTACTGCTATTGTATAATTTGCACAATAGGTTCACATGTTCAACTGTCGACTGAAACTCCCTTCCTTACCTTGCTTACTTTCGAACGAAATTAAGATTGTTTGAAAGTCGACAATAACTTGTTTTGTTTTATACCCCTAACACATATCAAACTTTATTTTTCGCCAATGTTCATATTCTGATGATTTACGCCATACAATAATATTCCCTGACATAATTGTTTAAGACCGACTGTTCATGTTTCCAGAAATTATCACTGGAGCCGGGACTGCACGGGCCTAAGCTCAGTTTGTGTTTCCCATGTTCAGTGTATAGCTGCTGAGACCAAATACCAGTTCTTTCCACTTTCAACACCCTAATCCAATCATGCCGCCCTATGGTTCTGTCTATTTATATGTGTGTACATTTGTCTACCATTCTATGGTTGTCATAACACCGCCTGTTCGACTATTTCGATCTAAGTTACTGTAATAGCTTTAATGACTTGGAATTTGCTGTCGATGAGACACATTCCTGTGTTGCTACAGTGACCAATATAAGTTCGTATTGTTTGTTTTTTACAATATTGACAGAAATTGACTAAAAAGAAATAAATGTATTTTGAACGAGTTGAATACAAAATATGTAGAATTGGCGAAAGTAATAGTGACGAGTTGTGAAAACAGAGGACAAGGCACGGCGTAGAGAACAGGCCTAAAACTAGTCACTATGATTACCACACACTAAAAGTCTCTTATGACATTAATCTGAACGATGACAACCATGGGTACACCGTCTAATTTGACCAGATATAATTTACAGCAGAACTGATATAGGCAAATAAACAGTAATATGCCAGGAGGGAATACAGCACAATTTTTACTTCGTAGCCACTTACGGACAGTGTGACAGAATAAGCTAGCGTCTGTTTATTTTATTCGTTGGCCATGACGGACAACACAAATAAAGATCCTACGTCGATTGCATTGCCAAATTAAACTCTGAAGTGGGCTTTGGCATATTATATCATACTGCCACGCTGTTGCTTCGTTACAGGGCACTCGTCAATTGAATATTTAAACATCTAATGAATATGTAACTCTAAATCTGATACTCTCTATCCGTTTTAAGTTATTGCCGTTGCCTCGCGACCATCATATATACTCTTTGTATCCCGTAGTGCTCTACATTGAACATGTGCGCTTTCTCAAAGCATTTATCAACGAATTACCATGATATTCATGAACGACATGAATATTGGGGTGTCTGAAATCAGCGTTGAAAAAATGTTACTCGAACAAATAAAAGAAAGTTCATGAGCCAATCTTTAAGAAAATCTGATTATTTTGTAACATGATATAATCTAATCTAGTTTTTAGTTTCAGCTGTCATTAAAAATCAAATGACCTTTATTCACAATGATAGAATAACCACACGAGATAAAAATATTGAATATTGTATTAATACTATGTCACTGGCAATTGCACCTCGTACGACTAGTAAGTATTGATTTCAATGCCACAATTTCTGTTTACACTGATAAAATGAGCTGGTTCATTAGATAATGTAACAGTTTTGAATATGAACTATATTGCCGAACAAATGATGTTGAGAAAACGATGACCAAAAATAAATGACAAAGATAGGGAATAAATGAAATCGAAATGAATAAATGTGATAGATGTACATCCAAAGTACAAACTGTAATCAGGCTAATAGTTCTACAGAATAAAAATCGATTGAAAAGCGCATAACACTGGAGTCGTTCCATTTAAAGAGAGTGGTTTCGTGGTTGGATAAATCTAGTGTTGATCCAATACAATTCAATGTAAGTCATCCTGTGACGTGAATGTTTTTTCGCCATTACTTCGTTCTCATGCCATTCCCATAATTTGAACTCATTCAATTCAAATACTCCTTTCAGGGCTCGGTAAACGTGTAACGTATCTTCTTTATGTTTATGTATATTAATTGACGAAAGATGGAGTTCGAAGGCCACTAACTTGATGTCTCTAAGAATTCCACTTTTGATGAGTTGATGGAATATTCGGTGTTCTGTTGTTTCAATGTCAAATTTGAGAACGTCGATATTTTTCTGTGTAGTACAAATATAAAGCAGATTTAACATGAAGTTACCTAGTTGTAAATTAAATGTATTGTGTTGTAAGTTACAATATTTATGTTGGATCCCGTTCTTTTCATATGATGTTATAATTAATAAATAAGATTATCTATAAAATATGCTGAATATTAGTTGATTTTACAGGTTTGATGGTCAAATACTTGCGTTTTCATGGTTTAACATTTTTTTGATCCACGATAATGTTCTAACTTTCCAATGGTTTGTTCTGGCTACAAGATCATCTATATTGTCGTCATATAACCCCATATTGTAGAACCAGATGCGATCGGCGTGTTTATGATCGTCCAGACCAATGCTATAACAACCACCACACAGATAATAATTAAGTTTCAACATATATAATGTGGTTTGAATGACTGTGCTACAGACAAGCAATATGTGAGGTAAAATGGACCTAGTAGTATGTTCATTATATAAAGTAAATGAAAAGTATGGTTTATGTTGTTTTTCATAGAGAAAATATGTTAACTATGGCGACAATACTACAAAAAGCTGGCATGGTGGATGTCGTCAACTGCCATGGGTAAATTAATGGTAATATGCCACTGCTATTTTGGGTGGGCATCTTAGGAAAAAAATAAACACGTTGAAATGACTAAGGGAATGCAAGATGGTATAGCTGCTCATAGGAGATCAGTAAGTTCTCAATATCTGTAAATCGATTTGGTTATGTTCTCTTGGTAGGTACACTTAGAAGAGGGGTTAGCTTTTGGCATAGATACAAAGCCTATGAAACTGGTTCAAATTATTTATAATACTCACCTAGGATCGAAACTGTACACGTTGCATCCATAATTAGCTATGTCCTCATCAAATGACCAGTCGTTGGCAATACTGTAATATGCATTATAAACTTATTATTAGTATTTTTAAAGTGTTTCTCTCTGTAACAATGGGAATAGTTAAGTAGAGTAGGTGTCCGCAGTCGTCATTACATGTATTCATAATTATCCCATTAAACTGTTCAACAATATTAACTCCCTGTATCTAAAAGACAATCCGCACGTCAGGAAATCGAACACACAAGAACGATCATTGAATCTTGAAAATATGTTATTCTATGTAAGTCTTGTTACCACTTTCCAAAGTTACATGTGTTATTAAATGTCACGTAAATTATACGAGAGGGACATTTGTTGGGCTACTCCATATTCAGGAGATGGAAGCCTAAACTCCAGTACTAGTCTAGCAATAGACATTGCTGGCAGCGTATGTATCTGTGTCCTGGGAATATCAACAACTGCACTACTATCTGCTGATACTTATTTATTTATATTTTAGGCAGTGAGCTTCAGTGATTTCTGTTTATCAGCATGAATTACTGCACAGCACATCAGTATAGAGTAAAGCTCACTGGAGTCAGATTTTGCATCAGGTTACCTTCCTGACTAAAGCTTTTCACACATGTTTCAACTACAATGAATAAGGGCATGGCAAACAATAACATGTATTCAACAAATTGATTTGTAATCTCAAAATAGCGGTCAAATCAGTTTATAGAGAATGTCAATTCTGGTTGTGGAATAAACCACATTTTGTCCAAGATCTACTAATTTAAAATAAGAGACTTAGTTCAACACTGAGTTCATCACATTGCGAGGTCTTTCACAAGCACCATGCAATTGCCAGAATGCATGTATCTCAAATTCTGCTGACAACGCAACCCAGTGACTGTACTCAGCAGTCTAAACATAAACAAGTGTAATGAGTTGTTAAATATCCAAACATGTATGATCATTCACACATCAAGGGCTTTGTTTTTTAACAAGAATTTTCACTTACAATTTATGTCATAGTATAATCGCTTTTCATTACCACGTTTCTTCTGAAATGCTATCATAACAAAAATAGCCAGTAAAACAGTATAACCAATGTATAATGTATTACTGTATATTTCCGAACTGCACAATTAGGTATGGATCCCAAAACAATTGCCAAGGATAGCAAAACATAGTGCAAATATATTTACCCAAAAGAATACACAATGCAGTCACTTGGGTTAATATCAACATCCATGCAAACATTCCAACCACCATCTTCATGTACAGGGTTTCCAAATCGCCTCTCCTTCCTACATCGGTATGTTATTTTAGTTGTATAGTTCATCAATAACCATATGACCTGGTCTGTTGTCAAGATATCCAACAAATCATCAAGATCCAATTGATAACTATTCGGCACCTGGTTAAGCGCTTGTCGCAATGAGATCAAACCTGTGACATTAGGTTTAACAGCAGGTTCTTGCCATTCCATCTAGTGTAGAAACATAATAACGACTTTATTGTGTATGACATCTTGAATATATAGAATACTATTATTGACTATTTATTATATCCTATTTAGGCAACTACGAAAACATAAAAAAATAATTGTTCATTGAACATTGTAGCATATTCGTTGCCACTTACGTGTGTTTTGTGATTTTCTTTTTCACCATGATGTCGTCCAAAGTACAATGTGGAATTGGATTCGTTTCCTAAAATATGCAAATTGAAAGGAAAAGTCAAGTCTAACAACATAATACTCCCAGATGAAAGAGCTCGGCAAATGTAAGAACATGCAATTTACAGCTTTTTCATATCACTTTTCATTCTCTAGATATTTACCTTTTCAATAATTTATGTAGTCCACCATCTTGATTCTTCAGCAAAGGATTATGGGTAAATATGACATCATATCCTCTTTTGTCAAAAATTGAGATAATGATTTCATCTATAACTTCAAAAGTGGAATTGACTGAAAATTTAGAACATATTAGCATTCATGTTCTGGTGCCAAACATGCAAAAAACTGTAAAAAATCATTTCTACCAAATGCTTACATTTTCTTATTTTGTACACAATTTATAAATGTGAGTAGGTTATATGGGTGATATATAACCTGTTGACCACAAAAAGGTGACAAACCGTGTCATTCTACTTTTAACGATTAAAATATTGGTTTTTATTGTTTTTACGTTTTTCACAATATCTTCACTTGATGTGTATTTGTAACATTCTAATTTCCATTACTATAATTATATGCATGAGTAATATGAACACTGAAAATTTGAAAAAAAATGCACCAGTATTTTCCACGTTATAGATAAATACATTTCCTCAACAGTGGATGTGATGTCACACTTTACCTACAATCCTTTGCTGGAGAATCAAGATGGCGGACTACATAATACTGGTGAAAACTAGAATATCTCGAGAATGAATAGTGATATAAAAAAACTGTAAATTTCATTCTCCTACATTTGAGGATGTCGTTCTTTCGTGAGAATTATGTTGTTTGGCTTGACTTCTCTTTTAATATTGTAATTGTAGTACTAGTGTCAATGAATGAACATCTTCAAAACCTGAAGAATTGTTATTATATTATACATATAATTATACATCTGTCACCGTAACGCCATAAGTTACAGCGTGCCGTAATTTGGCGGTACTTTACGGGGTATGTTCATCCTACCATATAAGGAAATGCGAATTCCAAATATGGAATGGTTACGCGAGTAAGCGTCCTAATAATAAAAACAAACATGGCTGCCATCAGGGTTTGACCGGACTCCACACAAAGAAGTTCGCTGATTCTGTTCTGAACTTTTTTGATATATAATAAGGTTATTACGAGGATACCTTAAATTTGCACTGAGACAGTACGCCGTCGCATCGACCTCCGCTACACGTCGGTCTATACTACGGCTGTACTGTCTTCGTGCATACTTCGAGACATCCTCGTAATAACCTCACATTTGGAAGTCAATTTGTATCAGTTGGCGCACCATCTGTGGTAAGATTTATTTATGTATAATATTATTGATACACAGGGGAGACATTTAGTGTATATTTAGTAAGCTACATTCTAAGAATGTTTTCAAATAATGTTGTGGATTTGTGTTCTGGGTCGGTCGAGTACTATGATTGTAGAGGGTCACACATTACCACGCCTTGCTAAATATGCAATGGATTAAACTGTTAATTAACGACTTGGTCAGTGTGAAACTCAAGTGCATATGAGCATTTCCACATAGTGATGTTTCTAGTATTTTTTACTTCCCTCGCAACAAATGTGCATGTAATTATTGTTGCACTAAATATTGCTTAGTGACGTCAAAAACATTGTCATTTTCTTTTATTTCAATTACATATGGAAAGAATCTTTTTATTTGTCTGACTATGCTAAAATTATTGTTGCCAGTTTCGCCTCTATAAATGACCCGTTATGTGCAACATGCATCAGTCCACACTATTACCTCCCGTAGTCAACACTTAATACCTTTACCTTTCCAAACAAACATCAACACGACGAATCCGATCAGAGAGGCAATCAACATCCCCAGCCGACTAATTTTCATTCTGTAACAAAACGTTCAAATATAATATATCACAGAGGTTATCAACACAAACCAAAGATGAATTATCTCGGCAAATGTATGTGATTATATATTATTATATTATAGAATTATCTATACCAGTAAATTTTATGACGTCATTGCTTCACATTATCCGCAATAATATATCCCAATTTTTGGTATCAAGGTCCCTTACCATGGACATGAATACAATGTGTTGGAGAAACGACTAAAAGAGGCTGTATTTAAAAAATGAAAGTGATGAATGTGAAAGTTGTTTTACAATGACATCAAATTTACTATTATTGACAAAGCTACAATATAATGTAAATAAATAACTCCCCGCCAGAACTAGGAACACTTAAGCAAATAATTAATTCTTACCTATTTATGACTAAGGAATTTGACATCCTGGTGAGTCAGATACAAACGATAATAATGAATCGTGAAGATATGACACTGATGTGATCTTATGTACTATGTGTCACCCGGCAGGATTGGTTGTATCTAAAATTGAATTTGAACTCTAGCAACTGTAAAAACCGGTACCGATACATAGTTATCGCTCTGACAGCGTACATATATAACATATAATAAGTGCGAATCGCATTGGAAATTTACAATTTCGCAATTTTACAAAAATCATCATGCATTTATTTTTGACATTTATTAATAATTATACCTGTAAAACATTGCCATCAATACATTCCTGAGATTGGATAAAAGCCAGTTTTAATTAATGTGAGCCTTTTTTAAATAGAGCATATTTCACTGTTATTTCAGGCTTCAGAATACAAGTATATTGTGTCTAAAAATAAGGGGGAGTGCATATCGACATCAGGTGAAAATGTAATGAATATATCGTTACATGTATATTTCATGTTTTAATGGATTAAATAAACAATCCTGTCTGATAAATTGTGCTGCATTATTTTGCGTCATTTTGTTGTCATTTGCAACATAAACATGACTGATTTCGTTATACAGTAGACGCTTTACACAAAATATTGATTTTCTTTCCTTAAATATGCTTATAAAATACATTATTATACCTCATATTCGTGCATTACAGGTAGACATATTCCTGTGGCTACCTGCTGACATATTTGTATGCCCACCCGTGTAGCTGATTTGCGCCAATAACTTGTCAGGGAACACAATACGCGGCATTATTCATGGCATAAAGTTTGCTTTCACTGTTTGACTTGTTTTATTGGAGAGGAAATTAGGATTTTGTAGGTATTTATCGTTATTTTTAGTCTCGCTTGACGGGAGTTTCCTCAGTTTACCATGATTCAGTGGTGCAATTTCTGTTTTAAGACTTATTCGATATAATAATACAAATGTCAACCTCGGCTTCGCTGACAATGAGCTCTTCGGTCGATAGTGCCCACATACAGTTAAGCGGGGGTTATTGTTATTGGAAATAACTGCAAAGTGTTACTCCCTTGGATAAGAGTTTATCACATGAGATCCCCGGAAAATGGTCTGACAAGTTTACTATCGATTAAATAATAAAATTAACATATACAAATGCAGAGACGGTACCATAAATATGTCTAAATTTGCATATCACTATGACGAATCAAACTATCCGTTTAGTTGTAAATTACCTATTGAGCATTCATTTAAATAAGACAAAATGTTGTTCAAGAAGTTCCAGTTATGTCACCACTTATATGTAGAATGACAAAATTTTCGACGTTTTTTAAATAAAATAGTGAGATATGGGGGACAAACAAATATTGCTACAGTTTAACAAGTAATAATAAGATCAATCAAAGACAGAAGAAATTTCTGGGACTGTTGTACCAGGTTGTTGGACGCCGTCCTGCAGTGCATGACAAGTAAGCTCTCGAATGCTAGATGACAAATTAATTATTAACTGTAAGCTTCGTATATATAAAATGGGTCACGTCAGGGTGACATGTAATCATTTACGTCTTAGTGGCTGTTAATAATTATTTATTATAACTCACACCAACCGAAATATTAGTACAAACTGTCATATTCATCAGGGAATGGGCAAACTTTAACCATACATTTAACATCTCATCAGTGGCTATAAATATTCATAATTCAAAATCAGGCACTTACCAATAAGCAATATGATCCTTTTTATCAGAGTAAGACCAAGTGGCACAGAACGAGCAACTACACGTAAATCATTTAGTATTGCATCAATATGACCGAACCATTTTGTTATTAGGGGTGTGAGGTGCTATCACACGAATGTGGTTAAAATATTTTTTTATAAGCCCAAGACAAACACATTTGTTGTCAAATGTTAAAGTATTAAAATCGCAATGAAATATCACCCATAACTCAATAAAATAATTGACAAAACATATCTCTCCTCATAGTCAATTAAACTTATTTGCACCCCTTTATTTAAATAACAATTCATCCTCCCTTTTTCAGGCTATCGACGACTTGTGTCCACATTACCTGAATCAGACACTGTATATATACCATGTGGTATAGTTTCAGTGTATAGTTGTTAAAACCAAATACCAGTTCTTTCCTCTTCCCAAACCCATCATTCTCGAGTACAGCGTCACGTTGTTTGTCCCTGCCACCATATATACCTGTTCTTAGTTGAATACTGAATGTGAAGAATTGGCGGAAATAAACGGTGACTAGCTGTGAAAACAGAGGGCAAGATATGACGGTGAGAACAAGTCTAAAACTATATTTACCACACAGTAATTGTGTAATTGCAAGAAGATAATACAGCATAATCTAAACTTTCTACTACTAACATAACATAACATAACATTATATGACGTCAGTAATCGTCAGTGTAACATAATAACCTTGTTCTTTTCTGTTATTAATATTCTTGGCCATGACAGACGAGGAAGTGGACTTTGATATAATATCATACTATTAAGTCAACGCTCTGCCACGTAGTTGACTCGTTAAAGGTTCAATTGATTACTAGTATTTAAACATCTAATGAATAGTTAACTCTCAATCTGATACTCAATCTACCACGCAGAGTTCTATTTTTATCTCTGCCACCACGCGATCTTATGCTCGTCGCTGATTGATTGATGCGTCACAGTGGTTCTACTTTCGAAGACGCTCACCAAAAACATTGCCATGCAGGTGTTAGATTTTTGAACACGACGAAAGCGTACGCGATGTTTATAGATTCTGGTTGTTTTTAAAGAGAGAAGCCCATTTTATATTTTCTGTGGCACAAACGGAGTGGCAGTAAGAATAGTTAGCTGTCAATACCATTAAGTGCTTTTGTTTCTTTATATTTCTTCGCCTGGCAATCGACAGGACGGTCAGTTTGATGAACCGGGTATAAGTTTAGTAACTGTTAATTCTGTGATGAAGTTATTTTGTTTTGTAAATTATAACTGTTTCACCCTTTTCAGTGCGTTTACGGAAAAATCATTATCAGCTGTCGATAAATATTTTAAAATCTATTTAACAGTAAAAAGAAACATGCAGAACTCTCAATAACAAACATACGCAAATAATTGGTGTAGTAAATTCTTGTGGTGTTTCACTAGAAAATGGCGGTGTGTGGTGGCAGAGATATTCGGTATTCTGGCCGCAAAGATCGCTAGTAGGAAGAATGTCTGATACCCTCTGTCTGTTTTAATTTGTCATTACATGTGTCGCGCCAGCATAATTTATAATCTGTGTAACCAGTCGTGTTCTACATTGGACTTGTACGTTGTGTCACAACATTTATCAACGAGTTACCATGATAGCGTATTATTCATGAACGACATAAATATTGGCGGGTCTGAAATCAATGGTGACAAAATATGCTACCAATGTGAATCGAACAAATAACAAGAGATAATTCATGAGACAATCGTAAGCGATCTTTATGGAGAGGATTGGCAATACTATAGCCATGTATCGCCGCTATGAAGAACCAAGTCTTTCCTGGAAATCCAAACAGAAAAGTAGAAGTGATAAAATTGGTGATGATTTTCTAGCATGATATAATTCTGAGCATCTCATCTAATCTGTTGGTTTCAGCCATAAATAAATATATAAATTGAAAATTGTACATCCATCCTACCGAGTATCAAATCAATCAGGCTGATAATTGTTAAAGAAATGGTTAAACATAAAAAAATATTTGCAAAAACAGAAAATTAATGAAATTGTAATGACATGAAATGAAATGAAATGAAATGAAAAGATCGGACAAATAGAGATCTACATATAAATATTAAAGCTTAGAGAGATAGTTTTCAAGAAGAAGTTGAAAATGAGGAAATCGAAATGTATAATGTGATAGATTGTCCACCCAATGTACAAACTACAAACAGATTTTCCAAACTTCCAAAACAATTATTTTTATTTAGTTTGAATAGCTTTTATCACGTGAAATTTGAATAGTGTGGCAATACCGAAAAACTATGCTCATCCAAATACGGTCATTTGATACGGTACTGTTTTCGCTATCAAATTACAGTTCTGTAACGTCAATCAACTCATTAATAACCATTCACTGTGTTTAATTTAACCGACAATTGATAACACGGACAATGGGTCAAATAGTTTACTATTATGCGCGTGCCAGTTTCAGTTATCTGTTAGTTGTCACGAGAAACTCCCAGGATTCTTACTACAACTACTGTGAAATCTGTGTACTTCAAAAATACATCGGCTCTCACGGGTACCCAGTGTAGCTATTTTGTTACACTATACTTTAGTTGTATTGAAATGTGGGATAAGGTACAATGCATGGGATACAATCCATTGAAATAAACCAACCAAGTCATGTCCTGGAAATAACAAAGTAGGTGTTATAAAACCGCTATTTTATTTTTGAAAGTATCTAATAATTTAAGTTGCTTCATAGTTATCTAATTAATTCAGTTGGAAGATTCTAAAATAGTACAGAAAAAGCGAAATACGTTTATTATCGAAGCAAGCAATGTGATATAAGAGATACTTAAAATCATTACTTTACAAAGTTGTACACTGAAATACAGTTTAATGTTAACAAAGAGTGTGGTTGCTTGGTTGGATAAATCTGGTGTTAATCCATTACAATTCAATATATTTCAGCGTTCAATTATATTTTGCCATTACTTCGTATTCATGCCATTTCGAAGCTGAAACCCGTTTAATTTTCCTTATGTTTACAAAAGGCCACCAACATGACTTCTCTAAGAATCCCACTTTAGATGAGTAGATGGAATATTCGGTGTTCTGTTGTTTTGAGTTAAATACTTACGTTTTCGTGGTGTAATATTTTTCTGATTCACGATGAAATTCTAAATTTCCAGTCTGTTGTGATATTCTCTTCTCAGATATGGCGTTTTTATTTATTTTTCATAATTCAAACCCATCTACAATTTGCTGAAATCATGTATTTGTAGTGCTAAATGGGAATATGCTGAGCACAAAGTCGAAAAAAGACCAATTGTACCGCATGCAAACGAAAAGTAGTGATTGCGACTTCGATTTAAAAGCCATTCTTACTTTAAACAATGGTTGACTAACGTGCGTATTCCGTGGTAAGTATAAACCACCCCATTTTGATGCATTTTTCAAAGGAAAACCTGCATAACCTTTATGGTCTTTGAATTGTCTCACAATGTTGTTCTCAGTCGATCTTTTGAAGCGTTCACACTGTATGTCGGTCGTGTTTGTCCAGGATGCAAAGGCCTCGGTACATTTCCTTGATAATTTTAAAAGAACCTACGGTCGGTATACTGATTCATTCGCTGGTACATTCGCTGACACAGTCTTTCTTTCAAAATGGTGTGCAAGAGGTGTAGTAAATTTCGATTTCGGAGTTTCGATTTTCGTAGTTAATATAAGTCGATCGATAATTATCATGCTTGAGTTGTCTCAAAAAAGTCTTAAAGTTACGGGTAATGTCCATGTTCTACAATTAGACATGACATAACCAACTTGTTTGGACACTAATCGTCTGTTCTTTCTCATATCATCACGTATATGGAGTTGTTGGATTTTAGAAACACAATGCTATAAACATTCTGCTTAGCATCTTTATAGCATCTGGAATCTTTAAGTTTATTTGGTTTGGATTTTTTGCAACAAGTCCAGCTTTGAATATAAATGCTTTATTTTGCAATGACAAAGGAATTTCCAAATCTGTTTTTTTCAAGAACTCATTTCGCTTCCTTAAAGGCATTTGGCTTTATAAAAAGAATAAAGAACTCACTCACAGCCTCCTTTTCTTAATTCCTATATAATGTTTCATGTAATGGATTTCTCACTCCGTAGAACCAAGGTAGTGGATGACGATACTCAATCTGGGTATTGGAGTGGGTCTCAAGTAAAAACAGACGGGTATTGACTATCAACCCTGAGGATGGTAGGTAAGCATAGAAATATAATTTTGAATGAACGTGCCCTGGAACAATTGTGTCGGTGTGAACAATAACTGTGATCATAACTATATCCTTACGGTAATTTTCTAAAAAAATAAAAACTTAACGACCAATGCAACCATAGTGAAATCTTTCATGGCACCGGCGTGAAATCGCGCCCTCTACCGGTATATAACATGCAACCAGGGCATAGTGATATATTTTGTTTTCTACTGACAACAACAATATACAAATGTTTCTAATCCAAATATTCAATAACAACCTCGCACAAATATCAAATAATAATCAGATGTAGTTTGATTTAAACGTAGACTTACATGGCGCTACGACAACAGTAACACACAGGCTGTGCTTAGGAAAATAACAGGTTTGTTGTTTATGCTGTTCTATATTTGTATTGTATGGTATGTATATATATATATATCTATTCAAGGCACAGAAACCACGGGCCAGTAAGCACAAGCACAGTATGTGTATTACAGAGCGCTTAATAACTGCTTGTGCTAAAATTTACATGGTAATTAGGATAACAACCTTCATTAATTAAAGCATAACTAGATATTCACTGCTTGTAATATTAGATCTGTTTAATTCGTTTAAAAGATTCCTCTCATTAGTAAATAGCGCCCTCACTCAACAATATTCAGAATGAGTGGTTGGTCAAAAGATTGATGAGTCAGGTGCATCTATTGGCTAAGCTTGTTGTACATAGATGCAAATGAGTATAGGAACCAATAATGCTGTAGGGTGTACTGGGAAGGGTGGAGGATTTCATGTTTGTAATGACTGGTTATAATGCGGTATCTCGTTGTTTTCAAGATGCAGCCTGATATTTGTTGCATTCTTGGTTGTTCAATTGTGGCTAAAATTTGTGTGGTGGGTGGAAGATGTGTTTATTGTTTTTTGAGTCATTGTTTAGACACCCTGCAGCTTGAAATGATATGATCCAAATACAAATTCGATATGGCGGTGTTGAATATCTGTGCGATATGGCAGTGTTGTCTAAAAACGTTGCATCAAATTGATTTCTGTTTATTTATTTACTGTTGTAGATCCTGAGAACTAACCATTGAATATGATGTCGGGAATAAATGGTTTTCTGTACAAGCTTTATTAATTATTGCTGGCAATATTCCAGTATGAATTGGGAGCAAACTGTGACACCAAATCTAGTCGTTGTATTGTTATGCTTCTAATATATTTTTTTTTTAATAAAATAAATAAAATAGAAATATTATGTGTATTTTTGTATGTGGAAACATTGCCGGCTCACTCAAAAATATAAAGAAGTGAGGTCTGCAGGTCTTTTATTTTTATTTTTTTATTTGTGAAAAAACTGGTATTTTACAGAGTGTAAACAATAAAACACTCACAGTGCAAGGCTAGTTCACCAACATGTATATTGTTTTGCTTGAGTGTGAAAGGTTTTCAGTTCAATAACTATGGTATCGGTGTTTTTACAGTTGCCAGAGGCCAAAGTTCGGATACAAGTAATCCTTTCGCATGACACATAGTACACAAGATCGTATCAGCGCCATATCATCACGACTCAATATTGTCAGTCAGTATCTGTTTGCGTCACCAGAATGTCGAATTTCTTAGTCATATATAGGTAAGAATAATTATAGGCTTTAGCTTTGAGGAAATGTATAATTTCCGAACGCACTGCGTATCGTAAATTATAAAGTAGTTGTTCTGCAACTGTCCTTAAATGCCAGACACCATCTGCTACTTATGGGGATGTTATTATATGCAGCTAACAGTATGGGAGGCAGTATGACATTGAAAACGTGCAATCATACTGTTAGATTTCATTTTGTATGTAGTTCTAAGGATGCAGTTTTCGAAAAAAATGTATATACAACGACTAAAGATTGTGTTTAAATCTCCGGGAAACATGTCCTAGCTGCACCTCCTCGTTAGTATAATGTTGAATCAAGTGACTAAAAAGCGTTCTACGCTTGCCTAGAAGTCATTTATACTTGATTTCTCAGAATTGTTTTGATTAAGTAGGACCATGTACAACCAGTTCTTGGTCATGTCGAGTCAGGATTGTTTTCGTCGCATGATGTAAACATCACATGTCAAAAACACGATCGATCATTTGTCCTGCTTCTGAGTCAACGCTACTTTGTCACGTGCACAGTGACATTTTGATTTGACTGGATTTGCCAAACGTGTTAATTTGGAGCAGCATATCTTCAGAACTTTGTTCAATTTCATGGTGAGTTACCTTATTTTTTTTAATTATTGTTTGTTACTGTATGATTGTGTTTTGTAAGATTGAACTGATGCAGTAATCATTGCGTTTTTTATGACGAGTGTCGTTAGTTTGGCGATGACTAGCATTTTGATAAACGGCATAATATTATGTCAAATCAAAGTAAGCATGTACTACGTCCGTGACTCAAATCAACGCTCGTACAGCATCTAATCGCCTGGCGTCAAGTCGCGAAACTCTGTGTTGGGCGATGGAAGAAAAACTGTGCACAATTTTTGTTTTTCTTTCAATAATTTGTTTGACGAACTTGCTGTAAGTTTTTTTTGTTGCACAGTGTGAAATATTTTTTCTAAGATTTAGTTGTGCAGATTTTGTATTCGATTGATATGATTGTCTAAATTCGAGAAATCTGGAATGTGCAAATAAATCTCTATTTTTTGTAAACTCTAGTACTAAACATTGATATTTACTTCCGTAATCGTTTTGTTGATTCCAGTAAAACATTTCTGTGACATGACCCTTACAATATTTGTTAGTGATAATGACTGTCAATGTCTAACGAATAGAAATACAGAACATACACATATTTTATTGCAGTAATGACTGACTAGAAAAAGAGTGCTTAGTTTGATATGCAATGTTAATTCAAATGAATATCTAAAATATTTCATCTTCCCAAGTTTGATCATCTGACATTATCAGGTTCTCTAATATACCAACAAAAAATGCCGCATTCATTAAAGCATGATGTCGGAGCTTGCTCTCCATATCAAGACTTGGCTGATTATTACCAGCTCACATGTAATTTGCAGGAGGGATTAATTCCTTTATTGACAGAATATGACTGAGCGTAGTCTACATGTTTAGTTATTCAAGACAATCGTGTAATGTTGCAGTCACAATAATTAAGACTCAATTATTCGAACACTTTATATTGTTCTTGCAGATGGGAAACACTCTCTTCATGATGTCACAAGAAAGGATTATGATTGGCAGAATGATCATAACATGATGGAAGAACTCCCAAAGACTAGAATCCAAGCCACTTAAATTGTACTCGAGAACATAAAAATAAAAAGCTAAATTCAAATCATGTAGAACTGAATACAATGAGGAATCTTAGCCAGAAAATGTTAGCCAGGAGATGTCTCATTTATTAGCAGGACAATGTATGCAATAAAATATAGTGTTCAATGAAATACTCATACAGCATCTTCACTTTTTTAGCAGTACAAATAATAAAACAATCCTCAATGAAGTCATTTTAAACATCCATTTGAGAGTGCCAGCAGGGTATGTACATGTTGCTGGAGGTGGTGAGTGCAAGCAAGGTAATGCAAATGTTGCTGGAGGTGGCGAGGTCTAGCAAGGTACTATAAATGTTTCTGGAGATCGCGAGTGGCAGCAAGATCTCTTAAATAACACGACAGGCGGCGAGTGCCAACAAGGTACCATAAATGTGAGTGGAGGTGGTGAGTGCCAGCAAGATCCATTAAATGACACGGCAGGTGGCGAGTGCCAGCAAGGTACCATAATGTTGCTGGAGGTGGCAAGTGCCAGAAAGGTACTATAAATGTTTCTGGAGATCGCGAGTGGTAGCAAGATCCCTTAAATGACAAGGGAGATGGCGAGTGCCAGCATGGTCCCGAAAATGTTGCTGGAGTCGGAGCGTGCCAGCAAGATCCCCTTAATGACAAGAGAGGTGGCGAGTGCCATAAATATTGGTGGAGGTGGCGATTGATAGCAATATACTGTAAATGTCGGTAGTGGAGAGTGCTAGCAAGTTACAAAATGTGATGCTCGAAGTGGAACGTGCCCTCAAGGTCATTTAAATGGCATGGGAGGTGGCAAGTTTCAGCAGTGTAATGTAAATGTCTGTAGAGGTGGTGAGTGCTAGCAAGGTACTGCAAATGTCGGTGCTGGTGGCGAGTGCCAGCAGATACTGTAAATGTGAGTGGAGGTGGTGAGTGCCAGCCAGGTACCATAATGTCGGTGGAAGTTCCAATAGCCATCATGTTATTGTAAAGGTTGCTGGAGGTCACAAGTGCCAGCAAGATCCATTAAATGATATGGGAAGTGGTGAGTGCCAGCAAGGTACCATACATGTTGCTGGAGTTGTAGAAAACCAGTATAACCCCTTAAATGACAAAAAAGGTGGTGAGTGCCAGCAAGGTACCATACATGTTGCTGATGGTGGAGAGTGCTAGCACGGTAATGTAAATGTTGTTGGAGGTGGCGAGTGGCATCAAGGTACTATAAATGTTTCTGGAGATCGCGAGTGGTAGCAAGATCCCTTAAATGACAAGGGAGATGGTGAGTGCCAGCATGGTTCCGATAATGTTGCTGGAGATAGCGAGTACCAGCAAGGTACCATAAATGTTGCTTGAGTCGGAGCGTGTCAGCAAGATCCCCTTAATGCCAAGAGAGGTGGCGAGTGCTATTAATATTGGTGGAGGTGGTGATTGATAGCAATATACTGTAAATGTCGGTAGTGGAGAGTGCTAGCAAGTTACAAAATATGATGGTTGAAGTGGAACATGCCCGCAAGGTCATTTAAATGGCATGGGAGGTGGCAAGTTTCAGCAGTGTACTGTAAATGTCTGTAGAGGTGGTGAGTGCTAGCAAGGTACTGCAAATGTCGGTGCTGGTGGCGAGTGCCAGCATATACTGTAAATGTGAGTGGAGGTGGCGAGTGCCAGCCAGGTACCATAATGTCGGTGGAAGTTCCGATAGCTCCCAGGTTGTCCTTTATTGAAACGATCAAGCAATACAGTCGGACATCCATACTGACAGCGGCATCAGTCGCACATTTTAGAAGTGCGCGTACTAGATTAAACACAGCGACAGAACACGCGTTAGGGCCTAGAGCAGACGACAGTGTCCTTACAAAATTGTCTGATTTTTTAATATTGAAAACCGTTGTTACACAATGTATTCATAGTCATCATACAGGGTCTTGATGCCGAAGATTGGGATGCAATGACGTAATAAAATTCCCTGGTATAGATAATGCTATAATATACTATGAGGTTATTTGGAGAATAGCTCAAGGTATGCACGAAGGCATTACAGCTGGAGTATCGACAGACGTGCAGAGGAAGTCGATGCGCGGCGTAATGTTTGAGTGCATACTTTGAGGTATTCTCGTAATAACCTTATTAATATACATCTTTTCCTTTCAAGGATACACCATGGGAATTGCAAAATCGAAAATGTTTAGAACAGAATCAGCAAACTTCTTTGTTTTGAATCCGGTCAAACTCTGGTGGCAGCCATGTTTGTTTTTATTATTAGAGGACACTTACACATTACACATTTCTTAATGTGGTAGGATGAAAATACCCAGTGCAATACCGCAAAATTATGACAAGCTGTAACTTATGGTGTTACGGTTACAGATGTATAATAATATTATAGGGTCGTGTAGGTAAAAAATGATTCATATTTTGATTGTGTGGTAAACCTTTGTGATACATTTTATTTAAACTTTTTGTTACAGAAAGAAAATTAGTCGGCTGGAGTTGATGATTGCCTTCGTAATCGGATTCATCGTATTGATGTTTGTTTGGAAAGGTATGTGTATTATGCATTATATGTGGACTATGGGAGTTTTTAGTGTAGACTGGTGTACTTCGGGCCATATACAGTAGAGAAAATGGCAATTTTAGCATGCTTCAAATTATTCTAAAATTATATTCGAAGATCTTATAATACTCGAGGAATTTGCTGGGGAAAATAACTCTAAATTCAGACAAATAAAAAGATTCATGTGATTGAAATAAAATAAAATAAAATGACAATGCTTTTCACGTGTCCAAGCGATATTTGGTGCAAAGATAACATACACATTTGGCGAGGGTAGTAAAAAAATGAAACTCAGCCACGTGGAAATGCTCATCAACGCTTAAGATTCGAACGCCGATCACGTCATTAATTGAAAGTTTAATTCCGACTTACTCAGTGAGTGATTTGCGCATGACCATGAAGGCTTGAGCAGCTCTTGAGTGCACATCCGTGTTTGGCTAACCAATTACCTGTACCAACAGTGACATCAGTAAGCGAATGCGTATTTCAATAGACACTGAATAACACCAGAAGGTACCCGAAGCTGTCTTTTAGCAAGAATTATGCCAGGCAGAAGGAAAAATTTGCGAAATTTGAGTGGTGCACGTTCGTTGACGCCATTCATTACCAGTCCTGTAAATGTGCCACATGGGTCATCCCCACCTGCTGCCGGTGAAGACAAAGCGTGAGTACTACTGCTTCTAGCAACGATACTGAGGTCGGAAATAATGAAGATTTTCAAACATTTGTGAGAAATGCGTTTGAACGTTTAGAAAAAAAAATAGAAGAAGGCGTACATAAGCAGATTAGTGTTACAAGCAGGGTGGATACGATTGAAAAACAGCAGTCCGAAGTTGAAAAGTCTGTGGAATTTCTGCACGACAGTGTTGTACAGTTA